ACGAAATATAATATAAATTATAAGCAAAGTTTAGGCGAGCGGTAGAATCAGCAGCAAGATGTACAATAATTGAAAATATATGTCAACAAAGCAAACGTCAAATGCAAAAGTAGCGAGAATGATACCACCTTATCGACGTATATGATATACTACCATACCGACACATAAGTTACCCCATTAACATTTAGAAGCTTATTAAGACAACTTTAAGATCCAACAAACTTCATTTAAGAACATGCAAATTTGAACTCAACATACCGCCGCCCTTGAACTATCTAAGTTAGATAAATGATACGTTCAATTTACAATTACTTTGTTTCTTTAAAAAAAAAAATACTTAAAGTTATGAATTTCATTCTTAGTCTAAAGGATCTTCATCAGCAAAATAAATCTTCCTTAGTCGGTAGAAGGCACAATTTATTATTGGTCTCTTGTATTCCCCGGTTGCAGTCTTCACTGTAACAACACGTACTCGGCCATCAGCTCCTGAGTGACACCGAATTACCCTTGCGAGTGTCCACTTAGTCGGAGGGGTGAGATCGTTGAAAATAGCTACTATATCTCCTTCTTCGAAATTACGTGAAGGACGAAACCATTTAGTGCGACGTTGCAGACTCAAGAGATACTCGTCCTTCCAACGACGCCAAAAATGTCGTCGCATTTCTGAAATTAATTGCCACCTCTGATGGAGATTTCCACAGAACCCTTGACCCTCAGGTTCTGGGATGGACTTCAGAGGTTCGCCGATAATAAAATGTCCAGGTGTTAAGGCTTCGAGGTCGGAAGCATTTGTTGAAATTTCACATAGTGGGCGAGAGTTAACGCAAAACTTCCTTGCAATGGTCTCGTCTCTTCAGTTGAATATCGCTTACTAGAAGATCTTCCGTGACGAGGAGGTATCTCCTAAACACCTTCAGATGATCGTTGAAGGTTCCAGTATCCACGGTGCGGTGGGTGAATCTCATTTGAGTCAGAAACGCTAGGCATCTCGCCGCTGCTCTATTGCATTCTTTATACAATTTGATTCAGACGGTCTTGCATACCCTTTCGAATGACGCTTAACGCTTGAGAAGCGTGCGAAGACCCTACAAATCAACTCGCAAGGCATCAATAATGATTTGTAGATGCCCTCCTAATTTGATGATATCCGAAGTCAGTGTTAGAATCGTACGGAGCAATCCCATTGCTGAGCCGTACGATTGCAAGTCCGACATTGTGATAATGCTCGATAAACTGAGCCAATCCCCAAGAGTAAACGCTGCACGGGCCAGTAATAAGTAAGATACGAGTAGACGTGCGGAATCTGGGCCTAGTCTGTTGAATATCGGACGAATATTTTGTAATGACGGGCCAGTAATCGTTTGAATTTGAAACGTTTGCTGCAACTTTGTTTCGAACGCCAATGTCGGTTGCGTGTTGATTTGTCGACTCTTTCTTCCAAAACTGGTCTGTACCTTTCAAAAATTCAGGACCGTTCCACCAAAGTTTGTGACAAAGGAGATCAGACGGCGATATACCCCTGGACGCGCAGTCAGCTGGGTTCAATTCAGACCTTACATGATGCCAACTATTCGGCGGCAAAACGTCTTGGGTTTCGGCAACGCGGTTGGCTACAAAGGTTATCCATTTGCTAGGATGTGCTTGTAGCCAGGCTAAGGTGATGGTTGAATCCGTCCAAGCATATAGCGGGTAGCGAAGATTACCCCAACTGTGCAGCACGTTTCGGACCAACTTCGAGGCTAAATGTGCAGCGCAAAGTTCAAGGCGGGGTAGAGTCGTGGGTTTAAGCGGTGCAACCTTAGTTTTCGATGAAATGAGGCTTACAGCAACAGTACCGTCGGGTTGCAAAGTGCGGGCGTATACCACAGCGGCGTAAGCTCGTTCGGAAGCGTCAGCAAACACGTGCAGCTCCGTGAATGAGCCGGCCATTCCGGATCCAATCCAGCGATCGACCTTCAACTCCTTCAAGTTCTGTAGCTCTACTCGATGATCTCGCCAAGCCTTTTCGATTGTGGTGGTACTGGGTCGTCCCACCCAACTGCAGAACGCCAAACGTCCTGAAACCACATTTTACCCTTTATTGTGACCGGAGCGAGTAAACCCAGCGGGTCAAAGAGCGTACTAGCGTCGGCTAGGAGGGATCTCTTGGTTAGGGTTGCGGGTTCTTTCTTCAAATTGACGGCAAATGTGAAATGATCTCCCTCGGTGTCCCACATCAGACCCAGCGCGTGAACGTCTTTACCATCGACTACGTAGTGCGAAATACCCCTCGAAGATTCGGAAATACTCTCGTTGAGCTCCTTACAGTTCGATGCCCACTTTCTGTAACTCAAAGCCTCCTTCCATTAAAATCTGTGAGACATGTTGTTGCAGGGCTGAAGTTCGGTTTTGCAAGATGTACCAGTAAGAAGATCGTCCATGTAAAAATCTCTAAGGATAACTGAAATAGCTTTTTCGGAATCGTTCGTAGAAGTCTTGGCAGTTTGTTGCAGCGCCTTTACGGCCAGATGAGAAGCAGCCGCCACACCATAAGTTACTCGTAGCATGCGGTAATCTTGAATTGGCGCAGATGGATGTGCACGCCAAACGATGCGTTGTAAGTCGATGTGCTTCGGTGACACACATACTTGACGGTACATCTTCGCAACATCGGCGGTGACAGCGAAGCGGTGCATACGGAAACGCAACAATATAGCGTACAGGTCGTGCTGCAATTGCGGCCCAACACAAAGGGCATCGTTGAGCGAATTCCCGGAGGTGGTTTTGGCAGAAGCGTTGAAAACGACCCTTAGCTTCGTCGTAACGCTCGACTCCTTCAGCACTGGGTGATGCGGCATATAATACACTGCATTAGTCGTCTCTTCGGGTACAGGTTCCATATGTCCCATATCTATTAGTTCTTGCATGAACTCGTTGTATAGCGCTTGCAACGCATTGTCCCGAGTCATCCTCCGTTCGATGCGTAATAGACTTCGCACGGCAAGGTCGCGAGATTCACCCAATGGCACGTCTGCTTTCACGGTAACTCCACTAGAAAGCGGCCATCAGGTGATCTTTGGTGCGTAGAAGCGAAATGATCTTCGCAGAAGCTCTCTTCGGGTGTGAGATGAGGTTTTTTCGGAGATTCCTCAAGCTCCCATAACCTCGTTAGCGCGCGATCGAGTTGCACATCACAGTGCAGCGACTGTACGTTGATCGGTGGCGAAGGTGAAGCTTTGATACTTCCGCACAAGGTCCAACCAAAGACCGTCTTTTGCGCCATAGGTGCGCCGAGTGGACCTTTACGAAGTTCAGGACAGATGAGACGACTCATAACATCCATACCAACCAGATATCGATGCGACCGGGTTTCATAAATTGCGGGTCAGCTAGGACCAAACCCTGAATATGCGGCCATTCAGGAATGTCCAGAGTATGCGACGGCAAGTCGCTAGTGATTTTCGGCAAAATCAAGGCTTCACGGGATAGCGATCTTTGGAGAAGTAGGACGAGAGTACGAGTGATGCCTCACCCTTACAGTGGCCTCCCTGCGATGAACCTATTCCGGTGACAATTACCGAAGACGATTTACGGGGTAGACCCAAGCGTTGTACACATGCCTCAGTGACGAATGTGGCATGTGAACCAGAATCAAATAATAAGCGCGCCGTCTGCCATCGGTCGGCGCAATCGCGAACCTTTACAGAGGCGGTGGACAATAACACAGTTTGTTGCGTTAGAGGAAGCGGGGTTTCTTCAGAGCTCAAGTATGATGAGACAGCATTGGCATTCGTCGGCGAACTGGTGCTAGCAGACGAATGCCA